TTCAAATTTAGACAAATAGATACCAATTGTATTTTGCAATCTTAAATCCTAATTGTATTAATTTAGAATCCAATTAAATTTAATAATAACTATGTCATTGAAATTTTAAAATTAACTAATAAAAAAATTAAATTTCATAAACAAGCAAGTCTGCAAGTGTGCTATTCACCTAAAAGTATTGCTTTGATTGGACTCGAACCTAAAGAAATGTCCCAGACTTATTAATTAACCATTATAAGAATGTCATAGATAGGCCATAGCACATAGGGCTCCTCCTAGCTGACTTCTACTTAATTCATTTTTCTTAATATATTATATATTATAAATTATTTTATACTATATATTATACCATGGCATGTATTGATATATTATTTTTCTTAATTATTTTATACTATATATATATTATAGTTGGGTTTGTAATCGGGTATTAGGAACAAGTATTCGTGTCAACAAACAAATCAGGTATCGGGTATCAGATATTCTATTGTCAAAACCCAAACCCATTCAAAACCCGATAGAGTTTTAATCTAAAATCCCAAACTCTATAGGGTTTTGATAAATGGGTCCTGTTAGGATCGGATACCTAAAAATTCCCGTGAAATTTCCATCCCTAGGTTTAACACCTAGTTTCCCTGTTTCTTCCAACAAATCAAGAACATATTTTCTTTGGAAAACAAAAATCTCATGCTTAAACTGTGCTACCTCAATACTCAAGAAATACCAAAACTCTCCTAGGTTTTTGACCCCAAATTCTTGGTGAAGGAGTTGCTTAAGAGAGTCAATCTCACGAGTATCACTCCCCGTCACTATAATATCATCCACATATACAGATAGCAGTGTTAAAGAGGTATCCACCTTCTTAATAAAGAGAGTGTGATCTGACTGGGCTTGCGCATAGCCAAATTTTTCAAGAGCTTGTCTAAATCTATCAAACTAGGCTCTAGGAGATTGTTTTAGTCTATATAAGGCCTTATTCAGTTTGCAAACCTTATTTCTTATTGTTGCACTATAAAATCCAAGAGGCAATTGCATGTACACTTCTTCTTGCAAGTCACCATTGGGGAAGGCATTTTTAACATCCATTTGAAACAAGAGCCATGAGTAATTTGATTTCTTTTCCTCAAATTGATCAATTAGCTCCCATGTATTGTTCTTTAGAAGGGCATTCATTTCTACCTCCATTGCATCTTTCCACTCAGGGACTAACAAGGCTTCCTCCACTGTTCTGGGAATGGAGATAGTAGTAATGGATGCCAAAAAGGACTTGTAAGAGGGAGACAAATGATCATAAGACAAGAATTAGGAAATACAATGAGCCATAGAGGAGGTACAACGACGTTTCCCTTCACGGGCTGCAATGGGAAGATCATGGTCATCTAATGGAGGTGAAGGCTCAACAATGGAAGGTATCTCATTTGTAATGGAAAACGAAGGAATTGTGGTTCTTGGATCTGGATCCGCAGAAGGAACTGGAGTTGGCCTGGACTGCTGATGATCGAAATCAACCTGCCTCCACCATCTATGATAAACTCTCAAATCCTGGCACCTCTGACAACCTTCTTCACTACACTCCCCTTCAGTGATTGAGATAGGTAATGGAATTTCTAATGAATGAACCTCCACCTCACTACTCTCCCCCTAAGAAGAAACCCTAGGATAATAGGGTACATCCTCAAAAAAAGTGACATTTATAGAGACAAACCTCCTCACAGAAGTAGGTTCATTGCAGCAATATCCCTTTTAAGTTTGTGCATAACTAAGGAAAATGCATTTTGAGGCTTTAGCATCAATTGGAACGATGAGGTCCAAGGGTTTGAACAAAGCAAGAAGTACATCCAAAAGTCTTGAGGGGAATAGTGAACAAACTCTTTATCAAGATATAAGAGGGTGAATGAAATTTTCACGTCTAGAACCCGTGAAGGGACTCGGTTGATGAGATATACAGTTGTATGAATGGCATGTTCCCAAAATCGTATAAGCACATTGGAGTTAAACATAATGCTTCTAATCACTTCCAATGTGTCTATTCTTCCTCTCAGCAACCCCATTTTGCTAAGGTGTATGAGGACAGATACTCTGATAAATAATCCCATGGTCAAGGAAATATGAGGCTAAGGTTTTGGCAAAATACTCTTTTGAATTATTGAATCTAAAAATTTTGATTTTGACACCAAATTGGGTTAAAATCATCTGAAGGAAGTTATGGGTTAAAGTAGGAACCTCATTTCAAGAATGCATAAGGTAAACCCATGAAAAACGAATATAGTAATCAACAAACAAAAAGAAATATCTGTACCCCCATAGTAGTGATATGATAAGGTCCCCAAACATCAGTATGCACAATTTCAAAAATAATACTACTTTTATTACTCAAAGAATAGGTTATTCTACAATACTTTGCAAGCTCACAACTTTTACATTTCAAATTGGACATCTGGACTGGCTCAAACAAACTAGGAAATAAACTTTTCAAAGACCTAAAAGATAAATGACCTCACCAGTTATGCCAAAGCATAACATGACCAATAGTCTGAGAAACAAAAGATCTCCCAACTTCACTTTCTTCCCCATGTGAATTCCCTCCAAGCAAGTAGATTCCATTTGTCTTACGACCAATCCCAATCACCTTCATTGTCTCCAAATCCTAAAAACATATTGATCAAGAAAAAAAATTCATTGAACAATTTTGAGTTTTAGTGATACTACTGACAGAAAGCAAATTAGTACTAAGTTTAGGAACATGCAAAACTGAAGACAAAGAAATAACATTAAACAATTTGATGTCTCCCTTACCAGAAATGGGAACAAGAGAGCCATCAGTAATAGACACTTTGTCTCTACTAGAAGATAAGTGATAGGTAGTAACAGTGAAGGCAAGCCAATCATGTGATCAGATGCACCCGAGTCTATTACCCAACAAGGTTCGGTGTTACCTGGGGCTGAGGCATTATAAGCTAAGGCCCGTGTACCTGAATGAGCAAAAGTTGAAATGGGAGTAACAGAAGTTGTGACTAATGGCTGAGACAACGATGTTGAATTGCCAACATTACTTTCCAACTAAATTAGAGCAACCCGGACAACAGCTAAGGTGTCTAGGGATGTAGCTCTTGTGCTCGATGACGATGCTTCATCAATAGTAATAGCTACATTAGCATTTCCCCTTTCGTTTTTGAACTTTGTTGGAACTAGATGAGAACGTAACTTCCAATAGGTGTCTTTAGTATGATTTGGTTTCTTGCAATGTTCACATATTAGCTCTCTCTTATCTTCCTTCTTCAAATCCTTCTCCTTATCACCCCCAAACTTTGGTTTGACTGCTGCCAATGCTGATTCAAAGGGTTGATGCTGCGGCATAACTTTTCTCCTACTTTCTTCACCGTGCACTAAGGAGTAGGCTTGTGATAAGGTTATACTTTCTCTCGTGAGAAATTGTTGTCTCACAATATCATATTCAGAATTCAAACCAGACAGGAATTCAAATACCCTATTAGTTTCAACTTGCTTTCTGTAAGTTTGTGCATCCTTCTAACTTTCCCATTCAATTGTCTCTAGGTGGTCAATTTCATGCCACAGGGACTTCAAGGTTGAGAAGTAAATTGAGATTAATTTCTCTCATTGCTTAAGGTTGTTCACTTAACATTTCAACTCATAGGCTCTAGTTGCATTAAGAGGTTGGGAATAGGCTTCTTTCATGATGTCCCAAATTTCCATAGTTGTTTTTTCCCACAAATAATTTCGGTTGATGTAAAGTTGCATGGAATTGCACAACCATGTCATAACCAAATAGTTCTCTTAAATTCATTTGGCATAGGTTGGATCCTCCTTAATTGGTTCATTCACATCCCCCAACAAATAGTTCGGTTTTCCTCTACCCCAATGGCCATCAAAGACCCAAAAATTGTTAACAACCGACCTAGGAGGGTGAATTAGGTTCAACTACTACCCAAAAATATTAGAACAACTCTACTAGATTTCCATAAAACTAAATCACTTAGTCTAGAATGGGAAACAAGTCCAACTACTACCCTAGAATTAACAAGTCTTGAGTTTTAGGGTTTTCTCTTGATCTACGATCAGTCATGGGATTAAAACCCTAAAACTCAAGAGAAAAGAGGAGATTTCCCATTCACACCTCTCAAAATAACCAAAGAGAACTTTTCAAATCGATCTCAAAAGAAAATCAACTTACTTAAAAAAAAAGTCTAGCTACCACCTTTAAACTAATGTCTGAACCCTAATCTTGAGGATTCAACCCTTCTTCTGATTCTTCTTGATCACTGGATCTCTCTAAAGCTCTACAGTCCCTTGAGTAGTAACCGCACACTACCATCAACCTCCAAGAATCAACTAATGATATTCTTTCAAATTCCAACCCCAACCTCCAAGAATCAACTAATGATATTCTTTCAAATGGAACTTCCAACCCTAGGAAGTTCTCATGTAGTCAGCCTGATTAGACTAACATGAGAAGCCCTAGCTTGGCTCTAATACCAAGTTATAGAGTAGGGCTGCAATCAGTCCTAGATATAATGTACAAAATAAGAAGAGTAGTTCGAAAATAGGAGAGAAGAAAAAAAGAAAACGAAGAGAAGTCAACAGAATTGTGGGTCTATGATTGTCGCCCCACAACAATTTATATTAACAATTAAAAAATAGGAGAAAAGCCTGAATTACCCCTACTGTTTACACAAGCAATGAAAAGAGAAAAAAAAACTACCAATAACTACCAACTGAAAAATAATTACTGGCTGAAACTAAACAAACATAAACATAAACAAGGTGGGGACCACATTAATGCTCTCTACATATTTGAAAAAAAATTTCTAGTCCGTTCCCTGTGCAGTCTTTGTGTTTCAATTTGGTTTTAGGTTTTGAAGATAAAAAGTTGTTTTAGGGTTTCTCTCTCTCCCTCACTCTTTTTCTTGGGAGAAATTTATGTGCCGTTATTTGGAAAGAGATGAAATGCTTTGCCACGATGGTTCATTCGGGGATGATGAAAAGAGAGGAAATGATTTGCCCACTGTTAGGGGCAACTTTGGTATTATAATTTTTTTTGAGTGAGCTATTAAGAGCTCTAAAGGGTGCAACGACAGAGGTCCTGTTTATGTTATGTGGGGCAGGTCAACAAGGCATGTATAAGTTGATTTTTATCAACTTTATATTTTCCACGACCAGTATCCCTAAGAGGAACAAGCTAGAACAGTAACCAATGCATTTGGCGTTTCTTTACAAGTGGTTTTCCATTTTATAGCTTGTGAACAACTCATGGCCCAAAACAACGTCCTTCAGTCGCTCCACTTTTCTATTGGCTTGGGATTTCTGGTTCAAAACCATTGAAGTTGATTAAAGATCGAATTATGGTACTAACAGTTCACCTGTTAGATACCCATCCATTCCTTATCCAATGGTTGAACCTTGACAACTGCTCTTTGGCTCTGACTAAACCAAAATACACTACAAAATTGGCTGAAATTAGGATGAGGTCATCTCCACCAGTAACAGCTAGCCATTACCACCGCACAACCATTGTAGAGTCTGAGGTTCCTTCCAAGTCACGATTGATATGTTTCAGATTTAAGTGTAAGCCAACTTGAAAACTCTGTAGATTCCATTGCTCATAGCTTGTAATTCTTCGGAGGAAATTCTGATGGGTTGATAACACCAGGCCATTATCAGAGGAAGCTTGTGCCAAGAGAGAGGTCATTCAAGTTTGACAAAATTTGCTCACGGGTAGTTCCAATTTGGTGAGCAACGTCAAGTTGTTCCTCTAATTGCAGCATCTCATAACTGCAAAAACATCAAAATAAAAATGTTAGTTGGAAGGGAAAACAAAAATCAGATCTTAAAATTCAACAGCGTGCTTGTCTGAAAGTCTGCAAGTCTAAAGGGTCATCTTATTGTCAGAAGGTACAAAAAATAGTTCTCTTTTCCTTTTGGACTTTTCAAAGGCCATGTGCAGAAAATTTCCTTTCTAATGATTTATCCTCTCATCTTACATCATCAATATATTGCGATGTCAGGATATATTTTAAGTTTCAGAACTCACTTAGAAGAAAAACCAGGATTAATCCTCCATTAGGTGTATGATGCAAGAGATACCCAGCATAAAAATATTCAGTGAAAGTTCTGTGTTCCAGCTATTTCATAACTATTATCTATTATGTAATTACAAGGTGGCCAGGCAACAAAAATGAATAGATAAATACATTTATATTTTATAATACAACTATGTAACCATACACACATTATGTAATTGCATGTTAATTATAAACAAATTAAACCAGCATTGGTTAAATGACACCTTACATTGTTGGAAGAAAGATAATATTTTTGAATATTCTCCCTAGTTCAAAGGAAAATACGCATATACACCAATGCATTGAAAATCGTAATCGTAGAGAAAATTGAATCGAATCGAATTGTGAATCGTATCATAAATCGTAGGATTATTTCTATTTTTATAAACTTGTCAAAAATAAATAAATATAGATACACTAAAAGGCTAAATATATACAAAAAGTGATTTAATCCTATTTTTAATCCATATTTACCATATATGTACCTAAAACAATAGAATTTACCACTTGTGCAATAGAAGCATAAGATGTTATAATCAAATTTGACTTGAAAATCAAATAAATTCACATACAATGGCTCTTTAACCTATATATGATGCAGAATAAACTCAATGATGCTCTTAAATAATGTAATAAATCATTTTCTAGTAAGGGCTTTAAAGCAAGTCTCCCTTGACAAAACTAAATATAAACAAAAAAGTGACAAAAAATTGGGATTTGGGTCTCAGAAGAGGGCTTCATGATCATTAAGTTAATAGTGTCATATGTCTGTTACAAAGCTTGGAAGGGGTATGTTTAGATGTATGTAAAAAGGGATAGGAGAATCTAGACCCCATCACCATCCGGTTCTTTCACCTGTAGATGCTTTTTCTCATTCCTTATCCGATCGAGTGAAAATGAGGGGCCTTGCCCTTTAAGGAGATTTAGAGTTCACCTATACCTCCTTGGTGGGTGGTTTGTGTTGGAAAATCATTCTAGAAAGAATTAATACTTGCGAGCTACTGCAAAGAAAAAGGGTTTAATTGGTGACTCTCCCCCCACTTGTGCCCTTTCTGCAAAGTTAGTGGTGAGAATTGCTATCACTTATTAATCTTTTGCCCTTATTCTTCTTCAATTTGGGAAAGGTTTATTTATTTGTTAGGGTGCAGGTGGAACTCTCTGTCTAATGTACAAAGCTTGTTCACTCCTACTTTCGTAAGTTGACCAAAGAAGAGGGGAAGATTGGTTTGGAGGTGCACAAGGGCAGTGGTGTGTTGGATGATTTGGGAAGAAAGGAACCAGCAAATATTTCTTGGTAAAGAATGAAGCAAAGAAGCTGTTACTGAAGCTATTTTCATCAAGGTGATCCACTGGGTGAAATTGTCAGAGCTATTCAAGGATGTTTCTGGGGCTGAAATGCTGAGAAATTGGAGAGAGATTTGTTGGTTCTTCCCCCTTTAGGGTCGTGGTCAAACCTATATGGTTCCCACCCCCTAGAGGTTCTGTCAAGCTCAATTTTGATGGTAGTAGTGAAGGCAACCCCGGCCCGTCTGGCATTGGAGGATTGTTCAGGTATGAAGGAATTGTCATTGCATTCTTCTTGGGTCCAATAGAAGTTGGGGACTCTTTAAGGGCTGAAGAATGCAATGACAATTGAATGTAAAGGCCTTTGCTGATACACTTGCAAAACAACGGGTGGAGAGAAATTGTTTATTCTAGGTTGTGGTCCAATTTTTATTTGGGAAGGGGTTAAGAGAGTATATCCCTTCCCCCTTCTTTCTCTTTACTCGCACTAATTTTCTTCATATTGAATGTATCTGTTTTTGTTATTGATAAAAAACAAAAAAAAATGACAAATTAGAAAACTAATTCTAAATTGAATTTATTTGAATCACAATAAATTAAGAAATCATTCAAATCATAAGATTTATGAATCAAATTGTAGGATTCAAACAAAATTCGCAAGATTTTTTGCAGAAAAGGATTCAGATATAAGATTCAAATTGAAACCCTTGGGATTCATGACCCAAATCATGAATTGTAAGATTTTGGCAACATTGATATACACACAAGGGTTAAGAGCCCTAATTTTTTGCTTTATAAGCACCCATTGGCCCAAAATAGCTTGCAGACATTCATATTAATATATAAAAGGAGCATAATTAATTAATTAGTTATTTGCCACCACTATACACACACATATACATACATACCACCCGCCTAGGTAATGGGCACTAATGCTTTAACCACACATTTTCAGACATTCACTTTGGTGACATCAGTCCATGAACTAAAGGAACTACATATACTTAGAAATATTTAAAATGGAATATGTGAAACTTACTGGCAAAGCAGCTCACAGTCAACTATATTCTCAGGGCCAGGTCGATGAGCCTTTCCATTTGAATGGAACTGTCGGAAAGCTCGGGGATTTAGGCCAGCTACATGGGGAACAGCATCAATAAGCTTCCTCTGTAGAGTTTGAAGCCGTCGGAATGTGAGCTCATCAAGTGGTGCGATACAACCAATGCTACCATCAAGTGTACCAAACAATAGAGCAAACCGATTGGTTTTGTCTGAACTTGGAGCAGCAGTGGTCCGGTCAGAGGAAGTAGGGAGCATTTGCAACCGCAAGAACTTCGTCACATGAGCACCAACATGGAATTCAGCCCTCGATAGAAGTTTATGCCCCTTCCAACTCTCTGACATTTTTGGTGCATAATAGAAGATCTGTTTGCATATTAAAAATGTTGGAAAATGATACTTCTGAGAAATAAATTCAAGCAAAAATCACTGTATAGAAAAATCTGCAAGGCATTCAAGGATTGGGTAAAAAAAAAAATATCCATCTAATATAAGTTGCGAATGATTCTAAATTACGAAGATTTATAATATGTAGAGTATGTTACTTGAAAGCTTTCATGGGCTCCTAGTACTTGTTATACTTAAAAGATGAGATTTGTAAAAATAAATGAGCAACACAGGATATTATCTTAAATCTCTAAAATGTATAATTTAAGGCACTTCTTTAAGATGGTCTTTTAAGCATAACTCACGCTTATTTCTTGTTTCCTAAAGGCAATCCCACATTTAAGTAGGCAATTTCCATTTGTTCTAGCAGCTACTTGTTTGCTCTCAACCACTTAGAGCCTGTTTAGGAGGGTTCCAGTGCTGATTGAACTGCATTAACTGAACCACTTCGGAGAAGCTATCAAAAATAGCTTCATTGGAAAGTAGATTTCCTGGCTCATATGTAAGCGTAATTTTAACTTTCCTGGTTTTCACCAAACAAAGCTTCGCAACGTTCCATGTGGGACCTACCTTGTAACTCCAGCAGCCGCTATGTGAAAGCCCTCCCCAACAGGCACTTAAGTCTCCACCTCAGCTTTGCATTATATTCTAAAGAAAATATGAAATACTAATACAGTTTTTTACTTCACCAGGAAAACAGAAAAAATGAGGAAATTTAAGCCAGCACTCTAATGTATGTAGTTGTTATTTGACAGACCCTGTTACATCAAGAAGTAACTCATTGTAACTATAAAAAAGAAACTTCTGAAGTCTAGTTGTAATCCAGCATAAGAACAGAATGCCTGTGTAGAAGCAGCTGCTTACCTGAACATTCTTTTGATCATCTGAGACAACAAGACTCAATGTAGTTCCGTCAATCAAAAATTCTGTTGCAAAACAATCAAGATTGCCAAAATCTTTGGCCAGTAAGTTCAACTGAGCTCCTTGTTCCTTCCAACTGAGAAAGTAAATGCTTTTGTGAATGTCACCAAGGAGGATAAAATTCTTGACCTGCAATGATATTTAACAGCATGGTAAGGATATAATCCACTTCTAACGTTGTCAAGAAAATGCAAAGACCTTGAGACACAATATTGAAACATATACCTACAAAGAAAGTGCAATCTCACATAACAAACAGCCTATAATTCAATCTCCATACCGCAACGACTACAACTCTAATAAACTGGTCAAAAGTCAATGAACCTAAGTTGGTTGGCCGAGTCTGACTAACCCTAGAAGAAAAGTATGAGTAACTGTTTAATAATGATTGATTCCAAGGCAAGTTATTATTGACAGATGTAAAGTTGATAGCAGAAAATGTGGCCACAACTGTTAACCACAGGAATTCCAAGTTTGGATGCAACGGTTAGGTAACTTTTCTTTAATCAGTAACAATAAAAATATATATTAATATAGGACAACATATACGAGATCATGGTGAATCAAAAAACACCAAAGCAATCCCAACCTAACAAAGGGACTCCCTTGTAAATTCAACTCAGACTCAATCCCAACTATTTGGAGTCAGCCAGACAGCCACACAATTCTGTCCTGCCATTATGCTCTATTAAGATCAATGCTCTCTGTCAAATTGTAAGGCCTTGGATCATTTATTACCACTTCAGACCACGTTTTTCAGGTCTTTTCATTTGCCCTCTTGAGCCTTCTGCTTGTACCAAGAAACTTTTTTTGTGATCAATAAGTGCAAATTTCATTAATGAATAAAGCAAGGTACGAAAGAAGAGATAAAAGTAACTCTCCTCAGCATATTAGCAGTGTTACAATTGGAGCCCAACACAATTGGTTCCTTCCCACCCCTTGTTTAGTTAGTATACCAACAAAAACATTAGCAGTTCTTTCAACACATGTAAGTCTCAATCTATGTTTTGTGTCAGGCACTTGAATTTCCTCCTTTCACTACTGTAGTTCCAGAATCCAACTTTCTTCCTTTGGCAGCCATCCCACCACTAGCTTCAAGTCACCTTCCATAATCAGCTTATTGCAGTTCATATCCTTTGCCCTTTGCACTCCTTTTTTTGAGAGAAAAGGTAAGGTATTTCGTTAAAGCAAACTGAAAAGAGATACAGCCTTGCCCAATGAGGCACTGGGCAAGACAGAAGAACACTTTGTACATCGCAAAAAAAGCACTATATGAACATCAGACAAAAAGATTACTGTGTGTAGAGAACACTGATGTGGGCCGCACAGCAGTGGTCCCCACTGTGTTCGTAGGACAGCATGTGTAATTATTTGTTTCAGTCATAGTAGTGTCAGTTGGGGTCAGTTTGTTATTTCAGT